ATTTAATTTTATTGTGGGGAAGGTTCTTTGTTTTTTTTGTTTGTTTTTTACATGGAGTCAGAATTCAAACAGAAACATCCCTTCCAGTCCCCTTAAAATATAAATTATCTGTAATGACTTCCACAGCTATTTTAGTATAAAGTGTAAGAATTTGGTAGTTGATCAATGTAACTTTTCACTTCCACCAGTTGTCTGAGCTTGACAATGTTAGAAATTTGATTATTATTTAAGGAATAAAGGGCCAAACTACTTGTGTTACTTGCATTTGTACAACCTTCTTACTTTTTGTTACAGTTACTGTAAAACTGATTAAGACAGGTACTTCAAGCACTCTTTTGTTGGTTTTCTCTCAGCAACAGACTTCTTGATCTCAGCCATGAATGGATGACCACAATAGTAACATTTGTCATTGCAGACAGCTTTGGAAAACCCACAGGAGCAAAAGTGTTGTGGATCTGTGGTAACACGATTAGGGATTAGACTGTCTCGTGCCTTATGGTATGTTAAAAGTGATGGCTGGCGAAGGGGAAGCCAAAGTTTACTGATGTAGTCATGCCGGAAAACTTGAGGCCAGCGCTCTTTGAAAAGACTGTTTTTGGCATAACTAGAAATCTGAACATGCTTAGCTTCTCGTCCTTGCATTGTGTTAACACCCAGTCCAGTTCCATATTTTTCAAACACCCGCTGAGTGTGAGAAGAAACTAAGTGGCCAATACTCCAGACAGTACCTGATACTGAGCCAGTGAAAAGAGCTACTGCTTTGAAGTACTCATGGCATAAGTTTGGCAGTTCTTGGACAACTTGAGGGGTTACATGATACATGGAGAAAATTGAAGCACAGTCCCTCAGCTTGAGTGCTATATAAACAATGTACATAAGCTTCATGAGTAATTTGGGGTCCTCTGAATCTCCCTTGATTGCATTCACCAAATACATGAAACCATGTAACACAAGCTTAGAGTCTTTCCCGGTTAGTCTATAGGAAAATCCCTTGTCTTTTGACCTGTCCTCCAGCATCNAACCTGCTTAGCAATGTCCAGTCTTTTTTTGTATGGCCAAGGCTTCCAATTACAGTCTAGGGTTGTTCCAACTTTGCCATCTAATTTGGTGCAGTCTTCGTTTGATACATTTGCAAAGCTTGAAAAATAAGTTGCAGCATTGTTAAGCTCTCCATTAATGAAAGCAAGAAATTTCATGTCAGAAGGAACCAGCTCAAATGAAAATGTTACTTGCATCTCTGACATCATATACGTTTTCTTTTCAATTTCTGCTATTTTGGATGACAACTCCTTCGTAAATAGCTTCACTGCAGGATGATCTTCTTTACAGTTTGCACCAAAAAGCAGGAAGTTGTCATTTGGGCTGGCAACTCTTGCACCCACATTAAGGAAGCTTACAAGCCAGGACATGGACTCATCCCATTTGCCAAAGGGTGCACCGTCACCACCGATAGCCACTTTAAAAGCTCCTTTCTCACTGAACCAGGTCAGTTTTTCACTTTCCTTTCTTAATGGATCTGATTCAAGGTAAAATTTACTGAGGGAGAGAAGCATTGTTTCCAAATCTCTGTACACACCAACAACTTTCTCATCTAGAGGTAAGTTAGCACATAAGGTGTCTCTTACAGAAATAAGTTCTCCAATGTCAATTTCTGCAATTTTATGCATCAATTGTTTGTAAGCAAGTGGCCTTGGAATAGGAAGCCCGAAACCAAACTTAATCCTTTCCTTTGAGGGGTTCCCTTTCTTCGTGGTCTTTCCGGTGTGCTTCAAAACAAGTGCAGACCTTGCTTGCTCATATTTTAGTTTTCCAATTATTCCCCCAGCATAGAGAAGTGAAAGTGAGCGAATGAAATTTTCATCACTATTTTCATATTCTTGTACCTCCCTCTTTATTTCTACAAGTGCTGCCTTTTTCATTTTCCTGGATGAGCAGAAGTATTTGGTCAAATCAGAAATCTTACCATATTTAAGGACGGTAGACACCATACCTTCTAAGGCAGGAGCTCTGTTCTCCACTGTGCCACCATGTATCTCTGTGGCAGCAATCAAGTTTTCTAGTTGCCTTCTTTGACCGCTTCGTCTCGGTAAGTTCAGTTTTCCCTCATTACAAAGTTCTGAGGGATCCCTTTTTCGCCTGGTGGAAGCGTTTTTCGAAATTTCAAATGCACTCGGACGTGCTTCAACTGTTGTTTGTTCAAGTTGTTTGATGCACTCTTGCACATTTTCGCCCTTCCCTTGGAGACGTTTTACTTTCTTTCTCAACGCACACAGCTCCTTATTTTTGGACAAATATGTATCGCGGAGGTTGGCTCTCTGTCTCGACAATTCCCCGAGTGGAAATCTACGTTTCTGAGAGCACTGGACTGACCTTCGAGGTGATTTCTTCTTACTTCCCATATCTGTAATTCAAGGCATGGGATTTGCGGTGCACCCTGCCTCACTCTAAAGATACAGTACCAAAATAGGCAGTTTTAGAGACAAAATTTCATGTAAACGCACTCGCAATTTCAAACCATTTATTACTCAATACAACAGATAAATACCTCTTCTAGGGAACTATGGTTTTCTTTGCTGCGAAATGAGCCCAGAGGAGTTCAACTAAACCTTTTACGATGTTGATTAATTCAGAATTACAACTGGAGAACTCGCAGCGAAGACAGTCTTAAGTCTAAGCTAGACTTTATACAAAAACTGTAACTTTCAAGGCAAGCAGGGTACCAAAACAAAGCTTGTTCTTCGAAAAAATCGAATTTGAGCGGCAAAATTTAATAGCTATTACCAGTTTCCCTTCAGAAGCAGAAATTCCCGGCAAATTTATGCTAATCACACTACAGCGAAATGGCCGCGCAAGATTTCGACAAAAAGGACTGGTGAGAGTGGGACATTCAAGTGGCCCAAATCGAGGGAAAAATTTCCAAGCGTGTCCAGCAACATCAAAGCATAAAACAAGCATCAATCCTCGTTCAACATGAATAGGAGGTCCTCAAGTTACAGTAAGAAGAGTACCCCTTGAAAATCACATTGTTAAACAAGGATCAATCCTCATCCAGCATGAATAGGAGATCCTCAAGTTCTGGTAACAGGGGTCCTTCAGCAACATCAAAGCATAAAGCAAGCATCAATCCTCATTCATGAGTTCCACCCATACTCATCAAAGCATAAACGACAGGGCTTACTGACTCGCTTGTTCCCTCACTCTCTTCTCACCTTAGCTTTCACGAGTCTACCTGTCCTTGAATAATGTTTTCAACGTCTTTCAGATTACCAACATGTGGGGACTTAGACCCAGGCTGTGTTCCTTTTTTCGCCAACCCCAACCCCAACAAAAAAGGTACTATCTGAACAGGCAAGGCAAGGCAAGGGGACACTGATGTTGTTGTTTTTTTTAAGTTTTTTTTGGGTTAACAACTCACAGTCTTTTGTAACTCCTTTAGGAGTTAGAGGCCCAACCAATCGAGCACAGTTTGCAAATGTTCTTGACTTTGTCTCTTATGCGTTGGCAAGGATTGGTCTTCAGTATCTGCTCCAGCTGGATGCTCGATGAGAAGATGGACCGAATCTCGGCATGAGTCGGAGGTTTGTCAAGGTGGGCAAATGCTGTTTTTATTAGCTCAGTCTCCTCCCGTGACCACGCAACCCTTGCTGAGGATGACGAAAACAACGAAGGTGTGGAGCTTTGTGTGGAAGTGTTGGACTGTACGTAGGCAGCAGTCCTCTCTGCCGGGTCATTCCCTGGGAGGTTGGTGGGGCCAGACGGCTGCTGACGCTGGACCAGGTACCGCACCCGATCCGTCACCCGCTTCACCTTCTCCTCTGAGTCTATAATTGACATGAGCACCTCATCACTCTCCATAACACCCAGCACGCGTTTCTTTACAGGTGATCTTTTTTCCCTTAGATCGGCCTCAAAGGCCACAGAAACCGCGGCTAGTTGCTCTGGAGTCAGAGAACTATTCAAAGCCACAGGGGAGGGGCTTGCAGGTAAGTTTCCCTCAGATGCGGCCCTGGTCCTGGTCTCGTCTGGAGTCACCTGAGTATGCTGTTGAATTTGCTAGGAAGCCTCTGCCGCCACCTCCGTCAGGTCTTCCCTCAGATACCTAGAGTTGGACACAGGATGAAAAAGAAGCACACTGTATAAACGTAATTGATTTTTAGTAGAAGTGTGTTATGCTTGGGAAAGAGACGTGTTCACAAAGGTGCTCATAAATTGAGGTATTCCTATCTTAATTACCATGTCTGTGCTGTTTTGTCACTATGGCACATTAGCCTTCTCAAAAGATCCTCGTCCACAACCAAACCAGCCCTCTTCTGAGTCTTCATTACGGTCACTAGCCACTTCCTGAAGTCCGTGGCGCTTATTTGGCGATCATTGCGGACACTGCTTTTGATCATGAATGCGGTGATCCGCTTGCCGATTGTGCCCTTGTGATAGGGAGCGCCATCGGACTTTAGGAAGAGCCTCCCCCAGTCTGAACTATCAGGGGTAACTACTGGGCGTAGCTTATTGATGAAGACCTCAAGCTGCCCCACCATCGCATTGTTGAGGGGAATGGGAGGTGGCCCGTTGATCTCCCTCTTGTGACTAGTCACAAGCATCACTTTCTGGCGGTGCTGCTGGTCCCACTTAGCTGTTTTAAATTGGACAAGGGTAGCCACTTCTAGGGCCCCCGGATGCGTCCCCACGAAGCTAGTTAGTAATACCAAGAGGTAGTCCTGCACAGCAGTGTACATGGCCAAAGTGAGGTTCTGAGTACAGGCGGCCTGACGGGCCTCCTGCAAGGTCCTCTTTCCCTCCTTTGCTGGGTTGCATGTCATTATGCTCTGAACGTCCTTTGTGGTTAGCATCCTGTAATGACAGTAACCAAAGTTTTATTAAGAATAATAGAGACTTTTTGTTTGGGGTAACTCCTAGTAGCCAGGGCTAATGAGCTTAACCCTTTAAGACCTAGATTTTTTTTACACCATATTTTTTCCCCCGAATGACGACAACATTTTGAGTCACAGATCATCAGGATTTTAATTAAATGCTATAAAACCATATATGTATGTATTCCTTATAAAATTATCTTTCCAAAAAGCTGTGTTTTTATGTAATTAATAACAATTTGAGCCTTTCAGGGTAAGCACAGTACTTGCTCACTGTTTGCGATGAACCCTAAAAGATGAAAACACTGTCATATTTCATCATGGAAAAGATCCCTGCCTGGTTTAGTTTTATGTTAACCAGATTCTGCAATTTCTAAGGAACAGAATGCAAAAAACCCCTTGTGAATATCATAAAAAGAACAGAAATTATGCATTTTTTTGTAATTTCGATCCGGCTCCAAAATGTCAAGCCTTTCAACAACAAACCTGATCTGAAATCTAATAACAGGCAAAGGAGTTTAGAAAAAACCCTTCCATTTGCTCAAAAGGTATATCAAAAGCACAAAACATTTCAGTGTTCTGAATACAATAAAATAAAAATTCTGAATACAATAAAATTCCCTGAAATTCACAAGCCAGTTGCAATCAGTTCTTGCTAAAAGTTGCAGAGACTAAACTCTCGATTTCAAATGTTCAGAAGAAGACAATGTTGTTTGTGTAAATGCAAAGTACATGTTCAGCAGTCTTTACTACTGCCAGTAAATAGGTGATGTATGCCATTTTTCCCAGCAATTTCTGTCCTTTGTGATGCATAACGGAGTGCGATTACAAGTAACACAGACAATTTGTGACTTGTATCGAAAGTTCTTTCCCAGATCCTGCACAATGGCTTTCTTTGCACAAACAGCACAGTCTCTTCTTGTGTCAGTCACCTCCAGGACATGTCGTCTGTCATTTAGCCTTTTCTCATCTGCCTCAGATAGAGGGAGGGAGGGGGGTCGACCAGATTTTCGACGAAATGACCTTTGTCCAATCAGCTGGCAAGCAACTTCCATTCGGAAGTCAATAAACTCCTGGGAGGACTGGGGATTTGCTTTCCTCATTATAATAAAAGAATCAAGAAGGCAAACCTCCAGGCCATACCCTAAGAGCTTCTTCCATGCCTTTCTTGACTTTCTGACCACAGAAAA